GCCGTTTGTATTAATTTTCTAAATAATATATTGCAATTTTATTTTAAAAGAAATGCAAGTTTTGTTAATACCTTATTTCTAATAAAGTTATATTCCGATAATCATATAATCTTTCCTACACATTATTTGAAAGTTAAATTTTAGCATTGTATTTTTAAAATCCTTTACTTACAGCGCGTTTATTTTTATAGGAAGATAATCGCGAAAAAAGCTCAAAATAATTCTTCTAAAATTAATAAATGACTTTATTTGCTATAAGTAATTATGGAATATGTAATAATTGTTTAACTAAAGCTACACTGGCTTATGTTTTCATTTTGCAAAAATACACAAAATTAGTAGACGTAAACAAGTAACCTCGTTAATGTAAATTATTTCATTCAATTTCAAACGCTTTAAAAGATCGCCAGTACAATATTGTACATTTACGAAAAAAGAAATATCCTTTCTCGTATTAACTAGACTACAGAAAACAAAAAAATAATCAAGATTATTTACGGAGTTTTTTTCCAAAATTAATTCAAAACATTTGAGCCGCCATATCGTCAGCACTTATTCCTAGCAATGCCAAGTCATCGTTGGGGTCATCTGGAGGAAGAGGAGGCGGTTGTAGTGGCATCGTGTGCTCGACGCTAGGAGGCGGAGGTGGCATCATATGTGGAGGAGGCGGTAAAGGAGGTACCTCGGTCCCCATGTCCATGGCATTCACGTCCGCACTATAGTCATACATTGAATGCTGTCCGTACATCAAGTCGTAATCCATGTTAGAATAGGAGCCGTATGACATCGACATGTCAGAACCCTGCTGTTGATCGGGATAAATGAAGTTAAGAGCGTCCTGCGCGAAAGAATAAGTTAACATTTTCCGACAAATTACTATGAAACAAATGTTAGCGCTATATTCATAAAAAAGGTAAAATCGCAGAACTCTAACTTTAACGAAGTTCTGATTATATTAACTGTTCTACCGTTTTGTCGGTGTGTTTGTTAATCACTCAGTTAACCGCGGAAAAAATGGTCAAAAATTTTACTTTTCCGTTACAGTTTGTAAAAGAAAGGCGCTCTATTTGGCTACGGTTTTACAAAATTGCATCCGACTTTATTAGCGGTTTAAAAGATATCAACAAATGAAAATTTCCTTGTAAACATAAATAGTCATGATAGAATGTTCTGGAAGTAGTGGACTAATAAAACATGTAATTCTTAGTCCTACTTTCGATAACTAGGACGTTATCATTTAATCAGAATTTTTAATTAAAAACTGCTAATTTTTATGTACTCAATTAAACAATTTCAATTACTTTTTACATTTTAACTTTAACGGCATGTGTAAAGTGCTATGCACTCAACTTTAATTGTTCAATAAACAGTTAAAATAGAAAAAGTTACCAATTACCATTGCGAATTCATTAAAATAGTAAATACCTGAAAATCTTGGGGTAAATGGTCTCCGTGTTTAGTCACCGTTGGGAAAGGCGGTGGTAGGGCTATCTTTTCTCCCTCAGTTCGTTGCTCCTGCTGTCCATTTGCTTTTGGTTGAGACATTCCCAACTTCTTTTCTTCACTTTTCTTTGACTTCCGATCATCATCGTTAGCTTTTTCAGATATTTTTGGAGGTGACGGTACGCGCGGTTGCGCTAGAGAAGGAGGTGGCGGAGGCGGCTCCATTATTGGCGGTATTGTCGATAATTTGGGGAAACAAACGACATCCGGATCAGGGATAAAAGCCCGCGCCAAGTTACCTGGTTGAAATCGCGTTTGACGAGGTTGGTCATAATCTTCTTTCTTTATTTCTTTTTCAGGTTTTTCTTCTGGTTTTTTGTTTTTGAACAACGGCATACGACCTATGAATGGCAGTTTTTTGTATGGAGGAGGTGGTGGTGGTTTCTTCATTTTCTTACTTGAGTCAGTTTCATGACTAGAGGATCGATTGCTTCTTTTTGATCTGGAAACGAATTTTTTATTGTACAAGTATTTATAAAAAACATCTAATTACTACTTCTATTTTTTAGAAGATGCGTGCTTAATTATATATCACAATTGAATCTTAAATTGGGCTCTTTATTTATTTTTTGCTTTGTTTACATTATTTTATTAATAATCAACTTCAAGTTAATATTATTAAATACCATATTGAACGTCAAGTAATATACGTTAAATTAAACTTGTTAAATTATTGTGAAAAAGGCTAAAAAATATACTAAGAACCTAATTTTAGGACGCAATTGTGATATTAAACGAATTGAACTATGAAATAAAGATTAACAGCGCACGCACTTTCTATGAAATAAACAATTTAATATTTGTAAAGTGAAAATTTTTTACATGCAAAAATTAGGCCTTATCCAATTACCTTTTAATATAAATTTTCAAATCTGATCACATATAATAATAATTTGGACATTGTACTAATTTATTTGTTAGATAAACTACATTTACCTGTTCCTATCATACTGAAATGATAAAAATTAAAAATAATTCTCACCTGTGATGATCTTCTGGACTTTTATTATGGTGCCTATCGCTAGATTTTCGATTGTTTTCGTGCCGATATTCTTTATGGTGATCGTAACGTTCGTGACTTCTTTCTCTGTGTCTTCTTTTTTCTGGGCTCGGACTTCTCGAACGTCTCTTTTCCTTTGCTCCTACGCCACCACTTTCTTTACTGGGACTACTATCATCAGGACTCTCTTCCGTTGGACTGTACCGCCTTCGAAACTTGTCTTTCGTTTTAAACTTGATGCGATCCCTTTCACGTAAACGAATTTCATCCAGTTCACGTCTTTGTGCCTCTTCGCGCTCCTTTTGCTCTTTTTCCTCCTGTTCTTTTTTTTCTCGCATTTCTTGCTCTATGCGTTCTTTTTCAATCCTTTTCTGCTCTAACTGCGCCAGCCGGACTCTCTCCGCTTCTTGCTTTTGCCTCATTCGATCTTTTAAGTTATCGAGCAATTTTTTGTCTTTATCTTCGGTTTCTTTTACTGTCATCCACTGGTTTATAAGCGTATCTTCGGCTTCAGATTCTTTACCCATCTCTCTAGCGTTGAGAAGCATTTCCTTTTTTTTGCGCTCCTCTTCAACGAGACGACCAAGAACCTCCCACTTGCCACCGAGATCTTCATTCATTATCATTTGCGCTTGTAATTTCATTTTATTACGCATTGCAACGCGAATACTTTTAGATTTATCATTACCCGAACTGCCCTCGTCAGAGGATGAGTCAGATGAGCTTGAAGAGCTACTTGAATCACTTGAGCGGGCATGCTTCTTTTTCTTGCGTGATTTTTTTCGCTTCTTTTTACTTTCTTTACTAGACAAGGTTGTAAGTGAATGCTTGTCGTTACGTTTTTTCTTGTGTCTCTCAAGAATATCATCTTCACTGTCTGTAGCTTTATTGACGTTCTTTTCTGTGCGGGAAAGCGCGCGTTCTCTATCCTTCAGCCATTCTATCTCCCAATGGGGATTTTGTTCGACAAAATTCTGGAAAAAAATAATTTAAATCTAGAAATCAAAATTTGCATCAAAACAACAACGAATTTTACCGTATAATTTAAATTATGATTCTGTGACTTAAGATGTTGCGAAGCACAATGCAAATCTCCCATCCAAACGTCGCACAGTTTACAGTACCATGCAGTTGCTGATATGAAGAATTGTAAGCCTAAAATGATAAATAAAATTAAGGAATCGTTCATCAATACAAAAACAAATTCATTCAACACATTAATAAGAGGTCTATTGTGCAAGATCCAATGTAACCTTTTTATGTATTTAAATGTTTACTAATCTTGAATTATATAAAAAATGGAATAAAATAAAATTAATTTGTAAATTATTGACAATACTTAGTGATACAAAAATTTACTTTCAAATTCTTATATTCAAATAATAGCAATAATAGTTATAAATATTGCCAAGTACCTTTAATAGGAAGCCTCTTTTTTGGTGCTCCCTCATAGTAAGGCATTTCAGGTTCAGCTGGCAACTTATGCCATGGCGTGTCGACCATATCTCGCTCCTGTGTGACATCCTTATGTTCTTTGCTGTGCAAGTGCACCAGGAGGTCTTTCGCTGATTTTGGAAATACGTCGCAAATGCGACACCAATGCAACTCCGGATCGTAGTGGACGTAATTGAAACGATTTTCCGAGTCAGGGCGTTCGTTGCTAATAGACACGGATCTATTTAAATTAGACATCGATCATTAGAAACATATTTATTATCAACCAACGTAAAACACGTATGTGTATACGCAGTATGAATTGCAATAAATTATAAACACGAAAATCAATGATGTTTTATTGTCCGGGATATGATGGCGTTAATATAATCAGAGATGAAACGGAAGTTTGTATTTCTTAAAATACAGAGTAATTCAATTGTACCTCAAAAAAAAAAAAAAGAGAACACAAGTAACAACAATTGCAACTTAATAATATTTTTTTAAAGAATTGTGGTTTTGTTCTTTATTAAAGAGTAACATTTTTGAAGTTTCAATTTTCTTCTTGTTTATCGATGAACTGATGAAAGGAACACATAATTTGCACATTTAAAACTGAAATTCTAGATATTTATATGAAAATTAAGAAATGAAAATTTGCAATTTCTTTACAAAACGGAACTTGAATAACATTGAGTTCAAGAAATATAATATAAATGAGAATAAAAAATATAAAAAAGGAAAATCCATACCTTTGGACCTGTCGTTTGGGCGATCCCTCGACAAGATGGGCTTCAAGTTCAGATAAGTTCTTATTGTCCCCGATAATATTAGTTAACATTTCAATGACGTTGTTTATGGTTTTCATCTTGCTCTGAATTTTATTCTGAAATGAAACAAACCTAATGATAGAGTAGCTCGTGCTATGCAAACCACACGCTAACATTGTATGATAAATATGTGTAGAATACATACTGAGCCCGTCTCTTCTCATTGCCGCTTAAATATTTACTGTTATAATTGGGCATAAATGTTTAAAATAGCTTATCTCTGTAGAACTTTTAGTAGCCAACAAGAGCTCTCCGGGCAATCCATGGCACACTACGAAACAAAAATGGCTACCAAATTCTAAACTGGCTTTGCACATGTATCTCACAATTTTGAAAAAAACACCCACCATTTTGCGAATTCCTAATTCATTATTTCAATCCACATCACTTTTTCAAAACATTAGGACGTTACCAAACGAAACTTTAAAATTAATTTTTGTCTCATTGTTACCTGCCTACACAATAAGCACAATACATACTTATACATTATCAGTATTAATCATAGATCTGAAGTATTTAAACAACAAGTAAACCTTTAATTTAATAAAATTAATATTATTAAAATGCAATTTTATACATACTACTCATTAGAATCAGTAAGAATATTTTAATTTAAATATTTTCAAATTTTACAAATATAATTTTTTATGGTACGAAAAAAACATTTAGGAGTTCGCAAAACAAATTAAAACTACAAAGACGTAGAATTTTTAAATATGCCACCTCTGGAGACTCACCTGCAATTTGTTGTTCTCTTTCATAATGTAGTTATTGTCATGGTTTGAAGAATGTTCAGCCAACAGTTCCTGTTTCTGAGCTTTCAGTAGATCGAGCTCTCTGCGAAGTACTACAATTTTTCTGACATACTCTTCACGCTGTTTTGCCATCTGCGCTTTCTGATGTTTTAGTTCTTGGGCAACGGCTAAAGAAAATAAACATTTTTACAGATGCAGTAAATAAAATAATAAAATATTATAATTCATTAATAAAACAACGGTCTACAAGTGAGTAAAGTTTATTGGAAATAACATAAAATAATTAACATTAGTTATTAATAACGAATTATACGTTGTACATTTGTTGACGTAAAACGAATTTGGATGCATCCTAAAAAAGAAAGGATTAAATTAATTAGTATATTCATATAAAGCATTTGTAAAATCCAAATCAAGAGAAATTTTCATACATACTGTCACTGTAGGATTAAGTTTTTCACTTTTAATTCACTAATCACAAACACAAATTCAATTAACAATTATAGGAAAATACTAAACAGCGCATTTTTGTTTAGTTCTGTGTTTCATAATTGTGTCTGTGTTGCGAGTCATTATAAAAAGCAGCAATTTTTTAAAATATGTGTTGTAAGTAAACTACCGCGAAAGTTTTACTTTTTGATACATTATTGAAATTTAGTAGCTCTTTAGATATTTTAGAGAAATTCGAAGGAATTTAAAATTAAAAATTTGGCTGTGGTTTATATTTTAAATGGACTTCTATAAATGTTTCCAATATATCTAACAGACCACCAAACTTCAATAACTGCATATCTCAATAACTAAAAAATAATAAGTTTATATGTTGAAAAATTCTTTTTCTGTTTGAGTTTGTTTTTTTTTGTAAATAATTACCGATTTTACAAATACAATTTCAGGAAAATTTATGCCAACATTCAATATTATTTTTCAATGAAAGATGCCCCAACTTTACATGAGTTTTCTAAAATATTACTTTGATTATTATATAGCGCGATTATCCATTTCACAGCTTAATTAATTGCCAAAAATGTTGAAATATATGTAACATATTTCTATTTGATCATTATACAAATTATCTTACGTATTTAGAAAAATGTTACCTTAGTGAGTACCTAAAGCCAAAAGAAAAAAAACTTTGTATGCTGTATAGTTCTGAAGTGACAAGTCAACAAATACCCTTATATGTGTTTAAATGATTTACTCAAAACTCCCAAGTTCCCACTCCTTTTGATTTAACCTTTGTATCAAACGATTTTTCCTGATCTATACAGAATTTTATCTTAACTAACCGTCTCTTTTATTGTCTTGCTTTAGATCATGCTGATCTTGTAGTTGATTCTGGGATTGGTCTGATGTCTGTTGATTAAGAGTAGATGGTAGCTGATTCACGTCATGATAGTTCCTGACTGGCTCCCATCCAGCATGGGGATACTCGTCCCCAGGAGGCACCGGTTGTACATCCTAAATAGATTTAAATTAGTAAAGATCTAACAAGAAGCAAGTGCCTACCAAAACAAAGCTAACTTACAGTTATACTTTGCCTTCGTATTTCATTATGAAGGCTTTTAGAATTCAATAAAAATCACCTCACAACTGATGTGGAAGACATGTGCTGTAAATTTTACTTTTAAGTATCCATACAAATAAGCTCTATAATTAAAAAGATCACAAAGTTTTAAATAAGTCATTTCGTGTATATGATGTGCATTCAAAAACAACTATGGAATAAATTTTAAAACTGTGAGACCTTCCAAAAAAAAATAGCAACAATTCTCTTACTGATGATGGATATCCAGTTGCCTGTCCGTAATTCTGGTAAGGATCATAATTTGATGGTGTAGAGTAGTTCTGGGAGTATGATCCATACGTAGTTTGATAGCCTTGGGTAGAATACTGGTTATGCTAGAACACATTTATGCAAAAAAAATTAGTACCCTTCTCCTATTAAATATCAAACATAAAGAAAAACACAAATACACATTACTTAAAAAACTTACTTCACCGTACATAGTTGGTTGTTGTAAATCACAGGAAAATTGAAAAGTTATTTGCTGATTAATCCACTGTAGGTTGCTTGGTTCAGAATACCACCTTCCGGATTCTAAATGGGCAGAATTAGTCTGTTTTTAAAAATTTCGAATTTTCATAAAGAAAATTATTATCATACTATTCACTACTAACACTATTCAAACATAACATATAACGATTAACAAATATTTCCACTAAAAATATTCACTACTCGTAAATTAAATTACAAAAACGCTAATCCGCCATTACGTTATCACACACATATTAAACAATTACCAACATGAACAGCAATTATTTTGCAATACTTCCATTTTAATTAAAAATATATCTACCTACAGCACGTACCTATTTGTACAATTTTACCAGTATAATCGCTAAATTGTACACTAAACGATTAAGAGTTGTATGAAACTTTAAACTGTAACACCAGCTTTACACATTTTAAACACCTTCGAACCATTTCGCCATTATGCCATTATGGCGTCAGTCCATAGATAATAGATATACGGCCATTCCATGAAGTCTATAGATAATAGTATAAGTTATAGACTTGTCAGTTCTTGTTCTATAGATCTTGTTTATTTCGTACTTCACTCCTCTTTAAGTTGCCTAACCTAAAATAAAAACAATTATCATGTTTATAATTGTAGTTAAATTAAATAATTATTAATAAGTAATACAGAATTTCGTTATTGGTGTACAATATAAATTAAGATGAATCAAGCTGATGTATCAAAATTAGTGTCTCAATTACGTATAAAAGTAAATCCTAGGTTGAGGAGATTTAGTAATCCTAATGGCCCAGCAGGTCGCCTTGATAAACTACGAAAAACAGTTACTGGATTGATTAAACATGAACGTATAGAACTAAATTATCCACGAGCTGATGAGGCAAGAATGTATGCTGAACGTGTAAGTCTCACTTTTCTATGTAGATGTTTCTTTTAATACCCTGATAAAACAAACAGAAAGTTTCTTACCCTTGCTCAATGACTGGTTTTATTAGCAGATATTTACTTCAAATGTTTATCAGACATCCCATCCACGCTTAAAAGCGTGTATTACCTAAAATTCATTCATTGCATAATCTCCAAAGTTACGACTTTTTAGCTTATTTCTGATGCAATAAGATATGGGGATTGTCATCGTACAACAATGGAAATGGCTGATTTCTGGATTATAGAAAAACAGCTTATACATAAGTTGTTTAAAGTGCTTGTGCCTCGATTTCAAGATTGCAATACTTCTTATACTCGTCTATATAAAGTACCTAGTCCATATCCTATAATCTACAAAAGAGAGGATTGTTATAGAAAAGCTGTGCTGGAATTACGTGGTAATCCATATCCAAGTCTTTTACCAGACAAACAATATAACAAAAATATTATCCACAATATATTACTGGAGGAAGCGAAAAAAGAATACAGAATGCAAAAGTATGCAGAAGTAGTAGCAAATACAGAGGAAAAAGGTAAATGCCAAACAGACTCTCCTGATGAGAAGCTAGAAACAAGTAGTGATATTTCAAGCAAACCAGAGTCTAATAAAGATGAACACACTACATAAACAATTTAACTTGTGTTTATTTGTATCATAAAAATCGAAAGCCACTGTCATTATTTTTTAAGATCACTTACATGTATAATTTATGTACAAATTACAAAGAAACAACTGTTTAATTTGAAGTTTTATGTAAAACTAAACAGTAAAACAAAATTACTTTACAATTATTTCATAAATACTATTAAAATAAAGTTTTCTTTGCACAAAATCCTGTCAGGGGGAGGAGAGGGCATAGGTTAGTGACTAATTTTCAACATAGTCCCTGTCACCAACATTTATACGATCAGGAGCTGCTGTTACAGAAAATCCAAGAATGCTTTTATCCATCTTTGTCATCTTTGACTTTTTTGTCTTCTTACCTTTGCCCTAAAATATCATTTTTTTTGCCCAAGGAAGTAACTTTATTTTTACGTACTGTTTTACAAACCTTAACTTCTTGAAAATCTGTTAGATGGGACGAAGGTGTAATAGCTGGAGCTGGAGAACTCATATCGTCTTTTTGCGTCGTGTTTTTCGGTTTTGTAAGACGTCGTTTTTCGAGGAACTGTGTGGCAAAATGAGAAGTTGACGGGCTATCGCCTAAGTATTCTTTACAATAATCACGCACTTCTAATGCTGACTCTACATTGCGAAGAAATTCTACGAATGTTTCAACTGAAAAACGAAAAAAAATTATCATTTCATAGTAAGAAAATGATTTGAATTAAAATTATGCACACAATTAGTAACCCTACAAAGTTATTTCATAATTAACAGCTTATTATGATTTCAAACAAATAAAATAAAGCACTGAGATAAGACTAAATTGTTTCCCAATAGAAATATCTAATTAAAATTAAATAGCAAAACGATGTGGCGTACACTAAATAAGTTTTTCTAGTTTTTTTTTTTTAATTATATTTCACGATATGTTGGTTTTTGATTACTATACAGCTTGAGGCAATTTATTTTGTCATGTTCTCTGTGATAATTTGTGTAATTAAAAAATTAATGACAAATTTAAAAACAAAAATTCATATTGCTTTACTTAATCTAATCTAATTTTAAAGTTTTATGATAGAATAAATTAAAAATATTACTTTTGTCCTATAAAATTGAAATAAGCACTCACTATCAATGGAAGCTTCTATTTTGCAAAGAGTCTTGGTACACCACTCCATGAACTCATCCTGCTTGTTGTTACCGCCAGTGCCGCCTCCAGTGCTGTTTGCACTACCACCAAACAACTTCATTACCTGTTGCTCCTCTTTTTTTGCCTTGCTCTTTGATTGTTTAGAACTTGCTTGCTTGGACTGATTATTAACTACCGCGTTTTTCGTACTTGTTGAGGACGGTTTAGTTTGCGTTGAGGACTTTGGCGTAGACGTTTCTTCCCAGAAACCTATTTTCAGGAAAAAAAAAAACTAAATTATTAACAGTACAGTACTAAATTAATATGTGCTTTTTGTATGAAACAGTTAAAATATGACGAATTGTTATAATCAAATTGTGTTTTCAACATTTAAAATAAGACGCAGGTATTTACCGCTGGTATTCCACTGAGAAGCGGCAATAGCCCAACTAATGCCTTTCCATGCGGTGGCATTAACAAATGTTGATGGATTCGCCTCCTTTTCTTTTATTTGGGCTAAACGTGCTTCAGTAGCTTGCTATAAATGATAAAGAGGTAATGAACAGTTCATGCCAATTATTATTATTAACGAAGTAAAACTAATAAATACGTGGTTGTCAGATGAGTATATAAATTACATATCAGGTTTTTATTTCGCCCCTATAAAAGCTATAACTGCAAAATAGTTTTTATATACATTAAAGTGAAATAGTCTTTGATAAAAATATTTGACGAAGCTGCTCAAGACACAATAAATTAACAAATTTTCGTATCAATTAAACATAAAATCGTTAATTATAAGTACATATTGAGACATTAATATTTTGTTATATATTATTTTAATTAAAATAAACTGAATTAAATTAAAATAACTCAAGTGCAAAACCAAGTAGTTGGACAGAAAATAAAGTCATTTACCTTTACGAGACGCTCCTGTTCTTCCATCTGTATTTCGGCTAACGATTTGATTTTTTTTGTTGCTGGAGGTTGCTTAGCCCAACCCAAAGGCATCGTAGATACAGAAACTTTTTCACCAGATAGTTGTTGTTGTTCCTGAATAGAAAAAACACAAAATTAGAAATAATGTGATAATATTAATGGTCATAAAGGTAACTACCTGCAACAATTGCTGTTGTTTTTGTAAATGTAGCAGTTGCTCCTGTTTCTTTTCTTTCTCAAGCCTTTGTATTTCTGCCAGACTCGTTCCTGTTACAGATGCTGGAGATGCCTGACTCCAGGGTGCCGCTCGTGATACTCTAATACTGTTTTCATGTTTTGCTTTCTCTTCTTGTTGCTTGCGAATATATTCTTCCTTTTCTCTTGCTTCTTGTCTAAAATTTAGATATTGCTTATTAAAAGTTTTACATGAAGTGTGTATTTCTTCTGTATATTTTCGTCTTAAAGGTACACATATGAAAGGAAACAATGAAAACTGATCAGTGAAATAAATGAAAAAGACGAAAGTGACGCAACTTTGATATTCGCTCAATAATATTTAAACAATTATTGTATTTTCGCCCTTCAATTGACTTTTTTTAATGTATTTCCTTTGTTAGCTACTAAAAATAAACAGTTCAGGTGATTAAATTTCAATTTTTCCCTCATTAACCTGAGGTAGTCTAGTGTGTAAAAAATTGAAAATGAATTTTCATATTAATATTTAAGTTTCAAGATTTCCTTTTAATCTTAAAAACATCAAAGTACATTTATTTGTTTTCATTTACTATATATTTACTCTCAAAATATTTAACTAAAAAATTTTACCGCGCTCTTTCTTCATCCTGCTGTCGCTTCTCCTCAGTTCTTTTCTTTGCTTCTTCTTCTGCCTTTCGTTGTTCTTTTAATCGCCTTTTCTCGTCCAACTCTCTCAATCTTTTTTCTTCTGCTTCTCTCTTAGCCTTTTCTAGTTCTTTCCTTATTTTCTCTTCTTCTTTTTTACGTCTTTCTTCCGCCGCTTTCTTTTCAGCTTCCTGTGAATACACATGTTAGGTAACTTTTTATCTCACAATAAGTGAAACGGTAATAAGAGATCTTTTATTGTTTTACAAATTACGGCGAATAAGTTTAATTCTTTTAATATTTTAATTGCGTCATTAAATTAGGCTCTACATATTTTTTGGTATTGTTCCCATTTTTTTGACGAACGGGCGTTTATTTCTAAATACAATTAATTCTACTTTCTGTAGAGACTTTTTATGATTTTGTGGGCTCTATCCTAATTTATAATTTTTTTACTAATTTTTGAAGCAATCTCACTTTGCGTTTAATAAATAATTAATTAATTAATATGAGTACCTGTTTTCTTTGTTCTTCCTTTCGTTTTTTCTCTTCTAATTCACGTTTTTTCTTTTGCTCCTCTAATTCACGTGCTTTCTCTTTTTCCTCCTTGGCCTTCTTTGCATTTTCTTCCTCTTTTTGGCGTTTCTTTTTATCGATAAATTCCTTTTCTATTTCGGTATCATTAAAGCTTGTTGGCGGAGTAACGTCATGAACAGCGGGTGATGAAGCATTGGCTGGTGCTACTGTCATAGGAACAACTGTAGACCCTTGAAGATCCCAAACTGATGCGGAAGTAGCATCATTCGATTGCTGCGGTAACCACTGGGACTGTGCATTTGATTTAGGTGGAACGGCACCATACTGTTGATTAGATTGCCAAAGAGTATCTATAGGCTAATTAAATTGTTTGAAAAAAGCTTATTTTATTATATATGTTTAAAAAAGAAAAACTTACTGCTGTTTGTGCGGTAGGCTGTTGCGGCTTATTATTTTGCAACTGTCTCAATAAGCTTTTAATAGGATCATTCTCCGTGGAAGCTCCAGAAGACGACAGCGGATCAACCGCTCCTAAAGGATTTGGCCGTGGAGGTAAATTATGGGGTACATTACTAGTGGTACCTCCAGCAGATAATGTAGTCGGTGCTGTTGGAATACCTTGCATACCAACAGAAGGCATGGAAGAAGCTGCTGCTGCAGCGGCTGCAGCTGCTGCAGCTAGTGGTATGTTGGGGAATGACAGTCCAGCAGGTGGGACATGCAAATTGGGAGGTAAACCATTGTTATTTGGTGGCAATCCCCCTACGTGAGTTGTTCCAGCTGCTTGGAGAGGATTAGGAATTGTAGGCAATGTTCCTCCCATTTGTTGAATGAAAGACTGGATCGGATCGAGCTGAGGAGGAATGGGTGGAGTGGGCTTATCGGTTATCGGTTGACCGGGAAGTTTATTAGTCTACGTAAGATAAAAATACAACTAATTGAAACGTCGATTTCTTACAAAAGCTATAACCAACATGAAAAACTAATGCCTACCTGTTGTATTTGATTAAACATTTGCATCAGAGGATTTGAAGCTGCTTGCAAATACCGCAAATCTGGAGCCATCTACAAGTTAAAACAGCAAATATACTTTAATGAACTACTAAGGAAACCCAGTACTAAAAATATTAAGGATGCACAAGTAAACAGGTTTCAAAAAGTATTAAATATTATTTCGAAAAAACGTGTTACCGCAAAAATAATGTCTTTTAAAAAAGTGTTCATTGTTTTGCCTGTATCGTAATGAAAAAGAATAATCTTACTTGAGGTTGGGGGATCATATGTTGGGCTAAAAGTTCACGCTGTTGTAGCACATTAAGATTGGTCCAAAATTCGTTTTGACCGAGAGCGGTCCGCATTGCAGTCGCTTGGTTAAGAGCGAGTTGCCGTTGTAACAGTTCCAATTGTTTCGTTACATTTGTTGATACGTCCGATTTGAGAGGCGGAATTGGTTTGGGAGAAAGGAAAGGATTGCCGCCACATAAAGATACTAAGTCACCTAAACGATAAAAACTTTCGTCGCACTGTCGTTTCACTAATAACGCATTACTGAAGTAACCGGCCTTATGCCATTCGGCCATTTCTGTCGAAGAAAATGGACCTTGCAGATCACCCTAACGCAAACATAAATACAAAAAAAAATTAAAGATCTGTACAATCCTCAACAGTATATAAAAACAATCTTGTTAAAGAAAATTTAACAACTAATATTTCAACAAGTACTTCAAAATAATTTTATTTATTTACCACGGAATAGGAATAATATTGTGACTTTATGACTGAAATTTAAGAATATTTTTCATAAAATATTGTTGAATAAAATTGAAGATTGAAGTCTTTATAGTAAAAATAAATTTTGAATTACTCACTTGAGGATCTTGATAAAACCAAGAATTCTGTACAGGAGGCACGAGATTAGGAGGAGGATGGGTGACACCATGGCCAGAACCTAAACCAAAATTGTCCAGATTCTGCTTATTTGGAAGGTCTTCTTCGACCACTAATTTTTGTACCAAATCCTCCTGGAGCCTATCAAAGTCCTCATCAACTCTGAAATAAGCGAAAATATGTTTAGAAAATATACCTTGCTACTGTAAATAATAAAGTACCTATTACTAGAACGTAAATTATCATCCGCTTTACTGGCGGTAACTGGAGCATTTATTTCCCTAACATCTACTTTTGATTTATCAGTCTTTGGTGGATCCTTTTCAGGTTCTAATGCACTTTTATCCATCTTTTTAGAAGCATTCACGTTTTCTTTCACCGGTTCTTTTTCATCCTCTTCCCCTTTCTCTTGCAGAATGCTTTCCTCCTGTTGGTGCTATTTTGATAAATAAAGTAGAATACTATTTTTATTTAAAATGAATACAATTTTTACCTTTTCAGTAAGTTCCTCAGTGGTTTGTTTCAATAATGATTTTAGGGATTGTGAGTTTGCTTGATGTAATTTATCTGACATATTATTAGCAGACGCCGACTTTTGTAAGGGAGGTTCCTTTTTAAATCCCCTTGAAGACGAATTTTGCTCCCTCTATGTGAACAACAAACAAATATATTGTCACCACAATATAATAAAACATGCATACTTGTTCATCATCTGAACCATGAAAAGCACCACTAGCGTCAAAACTTCCCCCCGATTCGCTAGGATTTTCCGTTGCCCATTCAGGTAGATGATCCTCGCTATCACCCCACTGACGACGATGAGGAGGTCCACGAGGTCCCTCATGCCAACTGCCCCGATTCATTCTATCTGGAGGTGCTCCTCTGTCGTCTGCATTATCACCACTCTCTCTCCAACTTGCTGAACGTCCTTAAAAAAGATGTTTAGCTTTTTTTTATAACTATTCAAACAAAAAAAGAAACAAACCCCATTTTTCTAGATTGCCACTCCTTGATCTCCATCCATCTTCTTCATCTGCTCCTCGATTACGTCTCCAATTGTCGACTGAGGAAGTCCGACTATATTCCTTTCTTGGAGACCACTCTGAGTGTTCTCCATTACCCCAACCACCTGATCCTTCGTAACCTGGACGGGTGTAAGACTGATAACCACCTCGGCCTCTGCTTATTCTACCACGTTCCAAAGAGTTTCCTCTTCCACGTCCTAATGTTCCTGGTGGTATAGGACGAGACTGCCAAGACCTCTGTAACATAAAGTATTGATTTTCAAGTATAACTTTTACAAGTTTTTGTTTTAAAATATTTACACATTGAAGTGTTATATTCAATTTTAAAATTATTGAATTTATAATTCTTAAAGGCAATCTTATAATCATTTTTATTTTTTATTTCTTTAATTGAAGATTCTATATAAACTTTGCATTCTACCTCTTCTTCTGACTGTGGTAACAGTGCCAAAGGAGTTAACTGCTGTTCAGAATATAATGTTGAAAAACTAGTCAAAGAAGAAGGTGCTGGCAATCCTTTTTCAAAAAGAGCTAACATTTCTTCTCGACCATATCTATAAAACAATCACAAATATATTTATTGTCTTTATACATTGTATTTTAAAATTTGAAAAAATTGCAATTGTACTAACCTATGGTCTGCTAACTGATACTTCACTCCTCCTGCAGAACCTCCAGTACTGGAGCCCTCAGAAGAGAGGTTTCTTAACCACTCAGGTCCAAAATTCATGGAATCGGTCATACTGATAAAAATAACTGTGTAAATATTTACTCATAAATTCACTTAATATACAGCAACAACAAAAGATCAAATGAAGCATGTTAAATGACTATGACACATGTATGATGCAGGCCTAGGAATCTGAATACAACTGACTGAATAAGGCCATGCAGTTTTCAAATATGGTGGGCACTATTTTTAGTTTATACACTTTTAAAATCGTTTTACTTAGATTACATTTTTAAGCGATCAACAAACGTACTAATGTTAGATCCTAATTCTCAAACAATCCTTTGTGAAATGTGAACAGAACTGGAGCCTGAGGCAAAAGCTTAGGTGGCACTTAGAGACCGTCTAAGTATTGATAACGAGATTGTTAAATGGACATAACTAAATCAATGAACGAAAAGGGTTGTTCTATAAGCTCGATGTCAAACGTCTTGAAGATTTCTTTTAAAATACCTGATTTTAGAGATACACACAAAGTATGCAATCAACATTAATGGCTGAACCTAAAAATTGTAGAAAATGCGCATGTCGTACAAATAAATGTCCCTAACTTATAACTACATCGAAATGTTTCATTCGGTGTAATTAATATTATGCAAAGTTGCCAAAACATAGCCAAATATTTTGATGTACATTATTTATAGTTATATTTTATACGACTTATAAACTAATTTTCTCTAAAATTAACTGCATTACTGTGAAAAGCGCGCAATTTTCTTAATTGAATATGTTAAAACTAAGTGACTTATTTATTCTGTTAATAGGCTAGTTTCGACATACAGGCCAATTGACTACAGCGCATTTATAAATCTAAACTAAGTAAGCGGGAAATTGAATTTAAAACGACGGACTAAAGAGTTACTTAAAAATTATTTTAATGCCATCGTTTAGTTTTTTTGGATTTTCCACATCTCTTTTATAAAACAGAAGATATTAAATATTAATTCCAGTTGCAATTTAAAGATAAGCAGAGAGTTGGAATGGAGAATACCTTAAAACTGTAAAGGAGCTGACCACTCTCAAATTTTCTTCCTGTTAATTATATGTACTATATTGCATGTGTATCCTTACAAATTAAATTTTGAAGGAGCTAAATGTTTAATTTAGAGCAGTAAATTGGGTAGAAAGACGAAATGAAACATAAAAAGCTGACTCGTCAGTTTAGGAAACTAAGGAGAATCTCAGCACAATTCATGCGCCGTGTGAAGTGGGTACTTATATTATGAAAAGCTTGACTACGTTGCCCTGATTTTCTCTTTAAAAGAAATCAGTCTTTTGTCGTTTTTTCTTGGATAAAATCCCCTCATTAAATGATCGCACAACATTTTTACGCCGTTCTCTTACTTTTCGGTTGTTTAGCATCACTGATAACGTTGCGCGAAAAAAATAAAAATGATAGCCGTACAGCCTTTAACAACGATTTCAACTTATCAGACGAAGGCAATACTGGAAATAATACATTAAACGTAAATGAACTGTATAAGTACGAAAGTTTCTTTGTTCGAAATTACAATGAATCTGAAGACGAAACTAAAGTACGAAACGTTTATATACAAGGGTTATTTGAAATAGAAACAAAAAACGGTACCAGGCCAGAAGGATATAGTGAAATGTTATCAGCACAGCTAGCAATCGATCACATCAATAAGTACAAAATACTACCTGGGTATTCTTTAAAACTTCTAATAAATAATACGAAAGTAAGTTGAATTGAAATACTTTTTTCTTATTATCATTTACAACACAAATAGCAAAAACATTATGAGAAAAATAGGTAGATTCTCATGGTGCCAGTGGTTTTTAAGGGAAGTGCCACATAGGTACTTCCCGGCATTATTTTTGTTAGAATATGTAAAATGTTTAAACACAAAAAAGCGCTCGTGAAATTATTAAAAGATGGAAGGTATTTGCTAGGCTTATTCTACCACGTTCCAAAGAGTTTCCTCTTCCACGTCCTAATGTTCCTGGTGGTATAGGACGAGACTGCCAAGACCTCTGTAACATAAAGTATTGATTTTCAAGTATAACTTTTACAAGTTTTTGTTTTAAAATATTTACACATTGAAGTGTTATATTCAATTTTAAAATTATTGAATTTATAATTCTTAAAGGCAATCTTATAATCATTTTTATTTTTTATTTCTTTAATTGAAGATTCTATATAAACTTTGCATTCTACCTCTTCTTCTGACTGTGGTAACAGTGCCAAAGGAGTTAACTGCTGTTCAGAATATAATGTTGAAAAACTAGTCAAAGAAGAAGGTGCTGGCAATCCTTTTTCAAAAAGAGCTAACATTTCTTCTCGACCATATCTATAAAACAATCACAAATATATTTATTGTCTTTATACATTGTATTTTAAAATTTGAAAAAATTGCAATTGTACTAACCTATGGTCTGCTAACTGATACTTCACTCCTCCTGCAGAACCTCCAGTACTGGAGCCCTCAGAAGAGAGGTTTCTTAACCACTCAGGTCCAAAATTCATGGAATCGGTCATACTGATAAAAATAACTGTGTAAATATTTACTCATAAATTCACTTAATATACAGCAACAACAAAAGATCAAATGAAGCATGTTAAATGACTATGACACATGTATGATGCAGGCCTAGGAATCTGAATACANGTACATTCCGGCATTATTTTTGTTAGAATATATAAAATGTTTAAACACAAAAAAGCGCTCGTGAAATTATTAAAAGATGGAAGGTATTTGCTAGGCTTTGAGTAGTGATTATTATGTAAAAATGTACGTAGAATCTCATGATGTCAACAGTTTTCGAGTACGGTGCCAATAAGGAACATTCCGGCATTATTTTTGTTAGAATATATAAAATGTTTAAACACAAAAAAGCGCTCGTGAAATTATTAGAAGATGGAAGGTATTTGCTAGACTTTGAGAAGTGATTATTATGTAAAAATGTACGCACAATCTCATGATGCTAACGGTTTTCAAGTGCGTTGTCAAATAAGCACTTTCGGATATTGTTTTTACTAAAATATATAAAATAATTTAAACATAAGAAAACAATGATTAGAATTAGCAAATTTTGTTAGAAGAACGTAGAACAATTAGAATTTGAAAATTTTTTTATTGTTAGTGCGATCCTGGAATAGGTTTGGATCGATTTTTCCATGCATTGTATTCTAATAACACCGTTATAATGGTACTCACCGGAAGTTGTTCCACAGTAACCGAGGCTTTAGCGAATGTAGTACCATATTGGAATGTGGTTCAAGTAAATATACTTATGACTAACTTATTATTTCGTAAATAGCTAATCGTAATAAGAAGAAAGTAGTTATGTGTTACAATATTTCTTTAGATATCTTATGCTTCAAAATCACCAATACTTAGTGATAGAAAAAAGTTTCCTTTGTTTTTTCGCACGGTGGCTGTCGCGTCATCGCACAACAACGCCAGAATAGCCTTTGTAAAACAGTATAAGTGGGAAACAGTTGCGATATTCAGTGAAAATCAAGAATATTATCTTCTTCCGCTTAACAATTTTGTCAAAGATATGGAACTCGCAAACATATCTTGCTCCGCAACAATAACATTCTCAAAAGAAAACTTACTGGAACAACTAACGGTTTTAAAGGTACTACATATTTGCTTTTATAAGTACCTATACAAGTTAGTTAATAATTTTTGATTTTCTATACATCCAGGAATTGGAAGTGAGAGTAATTTTCGGAAGTTTTTCGTCATCCATAGCGCCGCAAGTATTTTGCGAAGTTAGTAATCAGATATAAAATGTACGACGGATTGAATTACATATTCTATTTATTTTTGTTAGATTTATAATCTGCACATGTTTGGATCAGAGTACGTTTGGATTTTACAGGAAGAAACTAATTTGTGGTGGGAAGATGCTAACGATAAGTTGTGCGACAAAAAAGAATTGTTACTTGCTTCAGATGGAATATTTCTTACATCTAATCATAATAATCTATCAGATGTTGTTTCTGTTTATAATTTAGTAAGTTAAATAAACAATATACAACTAACTATAAGTAGTATAATAATCCCATCTAAAATGAATTTTATAAATTATTGCTTTAAAAGAGAAAAGTTGATTTAGAACATAATAAAGTTTTAAAATACATACATATGGTTTCATATTTTATTTAATTTCCTTTTCTAACTGCTTTAAAATTTTATGAAAAGGACTGACGGAAATGTCACGGAGTGCCCTATATAACTTAGACTTTTTCGTTATTTAAAATTTATAACAGTAAAATTATAATATCTACACAGCTATAATGTCTTTGTAGACTAGCAACGATTTTTTTGCGGAATTAATAAGTTACACAAACATAACAATCTCTCAATATGCCCCTTTGGTTTATGATGCCGTATGGACGATGGCTTTTACATTAAGAGAAGCAATTGAATATTACGATATACAACCGAAGGATTTTTCATATAAAAATCATCAGCAGCTACAAGCGTTTCTCAAAATAATGAAGAAAATGCGCTTTATGGGAATATCAGTTAACAACTACAATATTAATGTTATTAACTGTATCTTAAACAGTTGTTTTTTAGGGGCCTGTCATTTATAAAGGGGCCGACCGAATAGGAAGCACAATTTTTAAGCAATTACAACGTAAGTGTTTTGAATTTTATGTTTATTAAACGTAATATTCTATCTATATTGGTAGAAAACTCCTTAATTTGCGTAAGTTTTACAAAATTCGTAATCGGTTCGGTGGTAAAGTGGCCTAGGCTGGAGGCGCGAGTTCAATTGGCGGTCGATGCAATACTTTTTTTAATTTTATGTTAAACAACGCTTTATTATAAATAATTTTAGGTGGACAGACAAATTCTGTCGCAGTTTTCGATCCACTCTCCACTGCTTTGAACTTTGATTGCAAATTTTGTAAGCCAGTTCGTTGGAAGGATAATCAAGTCCCAGTGGCTAGAAGAATTTTAAAAAAGCGCCTCGAAGCTGTACCAAAATTGGCATTTTACACAATCTCATCAGTGTCCAGTCTCGGAATAATTTGTTCTGTAATATTTTTGTATTTCAACCTACACTTTCGTCGAATGAGGACAGTTAAGCTTTCTAGCCCTTACATGAACAATACTGCAGTCATTGGTTGCATGACCGTTTATTTAGCAGTTACAATTTTGGGAATGGATAGTTCGTTTTTGCCTTCTAAAGACGGATTCACGTATCTTTGCATAGTATGTACTTAGAATACAATTATTGCATCAGAATCTTGATTAATAATAATTAAACTTCAATGAAAATGCTACTAGAAAGTTTGTATTGCTGTGTTTGAATAAAAAAATAGAACATCTTTTTACTTTATCTTAATTTAGTATGACTTATTTTGGGACCTAGGCGAAGGAAATAGTAACTTTTTTTGAAGTGAAACTTCTTTACGCACGGTAGGGTAAGTTCGTTTCATGCGAGTTGCTATGTAACGAAATCGTGCAACGGATGTACCCCCTCTACTCGGCCACGTAGTCGAGTTCGTAGTGGGGATCGATTGAGCTGTGAGCGCGCTTCAATGCAACGTTCGTTACAGGCAATTCCGGCATGTATAGTGTAAAATTTAAATTCATTGTGTACAAATAATACCATTAAACCAATTCCTTAATCCCTATCCCGGTATGTTTGTGCGTTTGAAGAAGTTTCACTTCAGTAGCGTGTTGTATAATTACACGTTGTATTTTTTTTTTGTAGGTGCGAGTTTATTTATTATCCGCAGGCTTTTCTCTAACTTTCGGTTCGCTTTTTGCCAAGACTTATCGTATACATAGAATTTTTACATACAGACGTACAAGCTTTATTAAAGACAAATTACTAAAAGATAAACCTTTGATAGCCCTAGTTTGTCTCTTGTTGATAATAGATGGGCTAATAGTTATTCTTTGGAGCGTGGTGGATCCCATGAAGTACAGCTTGTACGATTTACCTATCGAAATAAGCGCAACCAATAAAGGAGTTGCTTATCAGCCTCAGGTTTTTGCAAAATATCATTTTTTGAATTTCAGTTTTCTCGAAATTGGATGTATTTTTTTTAAGGTGGAAACGTGCCGATCGGAAAATACGTTGGGATGGTTCACAGCTATGTACGGATACAAGGGAATTTTATTGATGATGGTCGTTTATATGGCATGGGAAACGAGACGTGTTAAAATTCCAGAATTAAACGACTCTCAGTATATTGGTATTTGTGTGTACAGCGTATTGTCGAGTACGCTGGTTATAATTCTTTCAAATTTAATTCCCAATCATCCGACAATAACTTATTTGACTACTGCAATCAGTATTCTAACTTCCACTACCATAATAGTTATTTTACTATTTCTTCCGAAGTTAAAATCAATTTTGGCCCGCGCTGATCCTATTGATCCAATTGAAAAATCGATGGGTTTGAAAACGGAATTTAACACTAGAAGATTTCTAATAGACGACCCCAAAGATCTCATATACCGTCTAGAAGCCCAAAATAAAGTTTACAGGAACGAAATACAACTTTTAGATCAAGAAATCACACGGTTAGAAAATCAATTGACGCATGCATCATCAAAAGTCTCCAGTATTTCCGGTTTAGGTGGTTTATTTTTGAAGCACAAACGCGGAAGTTGCTGTGAGTATAACACCTCAAGAACTTTGAAAACTCACAGCGGTGTCAGTAGAGCATCATGGCCCACCGAAGTCTCTGATGTGGATCAAACATTTTCGCAAAATTATTCTGCTTTTAGTAGTACTGGATCGACTCTCTACGATCAAATGAAAAGATTGTTTGGAAGCATTTCTTTGGTATGGCATTTTAAAGCAGATGACGCAAATTCAGATGATTCAGTTGAAACAAAAGATGAATTTGTTCCCTTGCCCATTCCCGAAGAAGAAGAAGACGGAGAGCAAAGATGGCTATTTAATGTTACCTCGGCGGTACAATACAGTCACAAAGATATTAATTTTGCTGCACAAACGGAAAATGGGGGACATATGTCAAAAGAAAGATATTAGTACTTAACTATTAGATGATAATTAGTAAAAATGTATTTGTTTATGATTAGGCTACTATAAAATCTTAATAAATAGAATACGCTGTTGTTATTTGATCAAATGTAATTAATGGAGGAAATTAAAGAAACAATGTAGTGTAGACATTTGTAGTTTATTTATTTCTCTTCTCCTTTTTTGAGGTATATTTTGGTGCACAGTGAGATATGTATATGCTCGAAGGACCATTTTAATGGCTATTGACAAAACTTTATTCTTGTATGTACTGTTATCATAGCCACAATTGAAGTCTTATATATTCAATGGAAATACCTTCTATGACTTCTGTCAACTGTAATTAACCTCTAATTTGTTAAGTAATCGTTAATCTCGTTAATGCAGTAATTAAACCGAAACAACATAGAAGGTATTGATAATTACTTTATTTATGAATAAAAATAAATAAATTACATTACTGTCGATTTTCAGAATGGCTGGAGTTTTGCGAATAACTTTTTCAAAATTTTTGAACTCAAAAAATGTTCAAAGTTTCATGTTACCTAATTCCGTTAACGAATTAATTATTCGAGGTATTATATCGAAAGCTGCGAAAATACCTGCAAAAGCAAAGAAGCCAGCCCCATGGCCTTATGAACATAAGAAATTTACATTATTCCATTATTTTTTTGATAAGACGAGTAGTAGGATAGATGAAAATTCAAAAGTAAGTTGTGGAAGTATGTAGGAACTCTAGTCTTATCTAAATGTGTTGTTTTATAGATTATTGTTGTGGAAGGTCCGCTTGCTGCAGGGAAAAGCAAATTTGCTTCACAACTAGCATGTGAATTAGATATGCTGTATTTACCTGAGGCCAATCTTGACATGTTGTATATTAACCCCTATGGTTTTGATTTAAAAACTTTAGATCCTCAACTACCAGAATCATGTAGAAGTTTTGATGTGTCTGACTGGTTAAAAAATCCAAAGCATTACAAAGCTGCCACCTTCCAACTTAATCAACATGGAATAAAGTGAGTATTGTCAAATGTTTTAAGTAATAGGTAAATACATTTGTTTTGCAGGTTCTCTCAATATATTGATGCATTGGCACATGTTCTCAGCACTGGTCAAGGTGTTGTATTGGACAGATGTGTCTATTCTGATTTTGTCTTTGCAGAAGCTATGTACAGTCAGAAATTTATTTCTAAAGAAGGTTTTAATTATTTAGTTTTATTTATTATGCTCTGTGGTTATACTTATTATTTGTAGTTAAAAACAAGTACTATCAATTTAGAAGAAATAGCATTGACGAGCTATTGAGGCCTCATTTAGTTATATATTTGGATGTACCAGTAGAGAAAACTTTAGAAAACATCAAAAAACGCAATTTTTCCATGGAAGTTAACTCACCAGCTATTAACAAGGATTATTTAACTACAATGGAGACTTTTTATAAACAACATTATTTGAAGCAGATAAGGTAGGCAAATGCTTAAAAATCTAATTACTTTTCAATTAATTTTTAAATATTGCTATTAGTGAAAGTAATTTTTATCTTAAACTACATGCTTTAATGTATTTAATTAAACATAATTGTATTACATGTTTAAATAGCAAACATGCCCATCTTTTGGTGTATGATTGGTCAGAGGGAGGTGATCCAGAGGTTGTTATAGAAGACATTGAAAGAATTGATTTTGAGAAAGAAGAAAACGATGCAAAAGAGAATGATTGGGATTTCAGAATGGAAGATGAATGGGGTGTAGCTAGACATAAGTAAGTTATCATAACATATCATATACCATGGTGGTAATTAAATTTTCATTGTTTATGTAGGTATAGTGATGGAAAGTTCAAATTAATGAATTATTTGAACATACCTTGTGTTGATATAAAAGAGCTTATGATTGATGGTGATGATCTCTATCACTATTGTAAAGTTTTGGAAGAGGTAAGATATGTTTAGATATATTTGTTTTAACATGGTCAGAATGAAAGTCAATACCCTCTGTAGAAAAGTTCTATAGGGATAAACGTTTTTTTGCCCCTTTTGGCCTTCATTCTATTTATATTCTTTTAAAAAAAGGGATAAATGGAAATTGACATAATACTTTAATTTTATTAATGTATATTTCAATAGGCACCTGGTATGAAATTTGATGAAGGTTTCAATGCTGCAATGGGAGATAAAGGCATTTTATTCAAAACTTCTACTAAACCCAGGGAAACTCTGCCTCGTGTAGAAAGAAGGTGAGACTTTTGTAATATCAGAACATACTTTAAAATTTTGTTATTTTGTTTTTTAGGTTTCCTTAATAAGCGTATTTTATTGATTCAAATTGTATATTAACTGTAAATTACTACCATAAATTTATAATGGTAAACTAAATCATTTTAATATACATAGATATTTATTATTTATTTATTTATTTATTCATCCAAACGTTTACAAAGCATCTTTTAAATGACGGAAACAACAGACTTTTATTAGTTTCACACTGTATATTTATTTTCATAGGAAAGAAAATAACATTTAAGAAAAATAAAACTACTGCTAAAATAAAGTTAAGCTCTTTTCACGTATTACTTCGTTTAGTTACCATTTTGAGAAGTAGTACATACTATAAATGTAATGATAAAGTAAAAAAAATTATCGTTCTTAGTGAGTTAGTAATAAATCCGTTCTTTTAGATTTTTCACAGTAGAAGATATTTTGTACTTTCCAGTTGTACATAAAGTTCAACTCTAGCACATTTTATTTTAGCATAAGTTTACAAAATTTTAAATTAGATTTCATTAAATCTAAAATTTAACATACATAAAAAGTAAATATAAGTTTATTTTATCTTTTAACACAGTGATTACTTTATTGCTTATCGTTTTTTGTCTTTAATACTAATGAATTTTTAAATATCAACTTACAAGGTAAATAAGTTGAATAACACTGACCCCCTTTTGAAGCATGAAAAGCTAATTACAGACATATTAGACGCAAGAACAGGAGTAAAGAGAGGCATAGGATGGCCTAGATTAAATTACTGTTTGTAAAACATTAGGTATGCAGGATGTTTGAGTTTTTAGGAAATTTGAAGACTGGCTCAGGTCAAATTAAAACTTGAATAAAATATTACCTTTTTTTGGATCTCCTAATCCTAAGTGCACTTTATGCTTATTTAACTTAATTACGTTTTTTAGTTTTTGATTAGTGCACTTGGTTAGCATTGAGACATGTGGTTCCAATCAATTTTGGAAAAATCTATATCAATTGTTTTATGTTGGGGTGTAAACGGCCTGTAAGCATATAAACATCTTAAGACTGAATAAACAAATTTCCTTGTTGTTAATCTTACCAGTACTTAACACCAGCAGCATCCAACATTCTTTTTGAGGCAATAGTCCTATTTTTGTCATGGTCTTTATCAGACATGTACACAATTTCTCTGATGCCACTTTGAATAATGAATTTTGCACATTCATTGCATGGAAACAATGCTACATACATTCGGCAGTTTTCTACACCAGCTGAATTTTTATTTAAAATTGCATTCATTTCTGCATGACAAACTGAAAAAAGTACAGTCAGCAAATAAAAGAAAAAAGAAATTCCAGAGACCATAATAATATTTATTCTTAAGTTCGTCGGCATTGCCCTTTCCCCAAGGAAATTCATCATCACTGCATCCTCGTGGCATTCCATTATAGCCTACACCAACGATTTGTTTTTTATCATTTACTATGCAAGCACCAACTTGTGTTGACGGATCTTTACTTCTTTTAGCAGCAAGGATAGCTGTGGCCATAAAATATTCATCCCAACTCAGATAATCTTCACGTTTACCACTTTTCTTTCTAATAGATTATAAATTATACTTTCAATTAAGCAGCAAAACATAAACTTACAGAGATTGATTTTCTGGTTTAAGGACTGCCATTTGAAAAACAAACAATTTAAAATATTGAGATAGATAATTAAACATTGTATAACTTATGTCCTTAATACGCCTAATTTGTTATTTTGTTGATGTGTTCAGGACGTACAAAAGCGCAAAACACGTTTGAAAATTCATGGTTAGTAACAACTGGTAATAACAATACATTAGCAAGTACCTTATCTTATCTATGGTTAGCAACATTGATAATGTAAGAAGTCAAGCATCTCATCAGATTTCGTTTGATTTCTTCAACCAATCTCATCAGATAATCCAACATCCGTTAAATTAATGAGAATCTTGAAATTAAGTTCTACAGAATTATTATTGCTAATAATTAAAATGTGATACATCCTTTTTATTAGTAAACAACTGCATTGAGGGCGACCTATACTGGAAAGCATAAGCTAAATGAATATTAGCAAAACTAAAGGAAGAAGAAGAAGAATCACCCGGTGTTTGTCACTTTTGTTTCAATATGGTTTCCAATATTCGTTCTCATATCATGTGATGTGAAATTTTCCGTGTTTTGTGTAAGTGTTAGTGAATAAAACGATTATTCGGGCATATTATAGTAACAATAAGCCTGTGACAATGGCTGAAACGAAGACACCCCCTTTAAGTGACATTAAACATCCAGAGGAAGTGGTTAGAATGACTGTAAATGATAATATCAAATTTGCAGTTTTAATCGGCTTTATTGAAGTTGGTCAAGTATCAAATCGTGAAGTGGTCAATACAGTCTTGCAGCTGGTAAGTCTATTTTCCTTAATAATTTATTACTCTATTGACGAGCCTTTGAGTAAGAATCAAATAGTTAAAAGGCTGCGCACCATTTGATGTACTTGTCAACAAACTAACGTCAACAAAGAGCACAATTTTAAGTATTTGCTTAATAAATTAAATAATTAATTGGATGAATTTTCAAAGACAAAAACATTGAGGGTGGGCGTGCCTAAAAAGCGCTGGCGCAAAATATTCATGCATTGTCTGCAAAAACGTGACCCACGTAAGAAAAAAAAATATTGGAATTGAGGGTGAAGATTAATTTTATTTTTGTATTCCCTTTGAACGAAATTTCCTAGTGACCCATACATATATGCATGGTTGTCACTTATATCTGAGTATTAATACTTAGTTAATTAAATAATGGGGATGCACCTACCTATTAAAAAAATGTACGTCCTTGATAATTGAAACTTTTCGTTTCAAACAATAATATTCTCAAATATGAATGCGTCTTATACAATTTAGTTTTGCTGTAAAATCTGCAATGAGTTGTTTTCTCTCCTCAAGAGGTGTTTCATAATACATAATTCATATTTGATGCTTAAAGCCAAACATTTGTTTGGTTTCATACATATTTATGATATCATTTTCCTTGATATTGATAGTAGTTTTATTATATCAGCTTTTGATAATTGTTTGAGTATTTTTAACACCTGCTACCTGCGTTCAAGAATACAATAAAATTGTTTTATTTTATGTGACACATGAATAGCTTCTAATTAATTATTTTGAAAACCTAATTGGTCGATTTTGATATTGCAATACCAATATTGATTTCCATTGATTTCATAGAATTTGACCTAGCAAAGGTCGAAACTATTCAACGAATATGCCTAAAGTCTTTCCGTTTACTTAGTATGAATTAATAATTATTAATCATTGTGCCTCAAAAAATGGGATAAAAAGGGCACTGGAATTTTTTAATGCTTCGGTTGATCCACATTAATTAAGGGAATTTGTTTTGTTTTACCTGTGTGATAACTCGTTAGTTTATTTACATGAGATCTTAAGTGACAAAACTTCGTGACCTGTATGAGTATACTTTGCTGTGTAATTTGGTTGAAGATGCTTTTCTTGCATGTTTCTAAAAAAGCCGCAAAACGTAGATTTCATTGAGCTTGCTTCGTGTATGATCCTGTACGCTGTAAGATCTTGGTTCGATTTGTTTTTTCACTGCAATAAAAAATGAATAAAGTGAATAAATAATTGATTATATACTGTAAATTGTGTATCTTGTCGATTGTAGGTAAGAATTAGTTTTTATTTACTTTCGTAAACTCGGCGTACCTATCTACATGTTATTTTGATTGATTTTTGCTAATGGGGTCATTAATTACATTAAAAAGTGTTGGTGTGTAGTTCTTTTCCTTGTTGGAATATTAATATTATACATACATTTACATAGTAGTTTTCGTATTGGCCATTAATGTACAATGGATTTTTACGTCTGCCTGGTGATTTTTATTGAAAAAGATTTGCTCTAGTTTACTAATTTTTTACATGTAAAGGCCTGGTAGTAGTTGATGAAATTTCAAATTAACATTCGCTTTATTGGTTCTTGATTGATACATTTTTTATTGATACCGACAGTCAGTAAAGTGTTATCTCNTGCCTGGTGATTTTTATTGAAAAAGATTTGCTCTAGTTTACTAATTTTTTACATGTAAAGGCCTGGTAGTAGTTGATGAAATTTCAAATTAACATTCGCTTTATTGGTTCTTGATTGATACATTTTTTATTGATACCGACAGTCAGTAAAGTGTTATCTCAAAATGAAAAGTATTAATCGTAAGTAGAAATACAACGATTATCATGCTTTCAAAATGTTATTTTATTACTGCAACGCCGCGGCATTGAATATTTTGATAAGGAAAAAGATATTACATACAGTCTGGATAATTATTGTCCTAGATAGATTTGTTTTCAACAAAGTAACCGTAAGTTTTAGCTATTCGACGTTAATGGTCTGTGTAATGGCAATTTTCCTTGCTTGCAACTTTCCTAAAGTATCATTTGTTGCAAAAAAGTTGACTTCCCATTACATTTGATTTTTATTTGCCTTGAATTACATTTTTATTGCAGATCTAAAATGTTTTATTAACTATTGCAACAGTAAAAGGGAAAAGTTATGTTATAGAAGTAATTGTAACATGCATGTAAGAAAAATACTAAGTTAGTCAAGATAAAAAAAAATAAATCTCAATTTCAGTGCATTATTTGAAATTAGTATTCGGGAATCTGGTTCTTGTTATTGTCGTATCGTTTACGAAAGAACCCTTGAAACTTGTAAGCACTAAGTACATACTCCATAACATACCCTGATGCAATGTTTTAAAGAAAATTTTACATTTTTCTCAAATACTTAAATGTAAAATCCTTAAAGTTATTGTGAAGATTATTTTTATAAGATAATGTTAGGTATCATTAATTTCACAATAACTTTATTGCAATTAAAAGTTTCTATGGTGTACCTACTTATGTCGAAAGAACTGATTATTGCTAATAATTGTACATATGTGTGGGTATTAATATGAATTCTTCCTGTTGCTTTTACGGGTAGGTATTTCGTTTTGATTTTTTCGTACATATACAGCCTGTTGCATTAATGCTTAAATGTTTCGCTGTTTTGTTGACGATTATTCAATATATCGATTATTGTGTCTCTTGTGGTCGTCCTTGTGGAATCACAAGTGTAACGAAGAAAGAAACGTTATGGTATATGTATAACCTTGTATTAAAAAAAAAATAAGTAGTAGGTAGGTATATGAAAAATATGACGTTATTATTGACCGAGTTGGCTTCTCTTCCATCAAGAGATCATGCTATAAAAAGCACGCGATTTTCCTGCCCTTTTCAGCTTTAATTAATATACCTATGTGCTTTAGTTACTAATTAAGTTCTAATTTTATTTTCTTGTTTATTTTCATTGTCATCTTCCCAGTGTGCACAACAGCATAGCTTTTGATCGATTAGCTTACCTAATCCACGTAATTTGAACCATTCTATTTATCGAGTAAATGCTGCTACTTGCTTACTCTTACCTTAATTAGAAAAGTCGCCTACTTTTATGTTTGTTTCTACTAACTAATTAAGTATGTTAAGTTTTTGATGTTGTCTATTGTCGTTTTTCATATCTGAGTTATTAATTATTCAACTTACAAGTTGTTGAAAGGGGTATAATTGGTGCATTAAATTTTAAAATTATTACTCTAATTATGTGACTAAAACAATTTTTTTAATGGAAAAAAATTGCTAATACAATAATTCTGAGAGTTATAGTAAGTGGTAGGTAGATATCTACATAAAATAAACAGATAAGATTCCACGAAAAAGAATCATCTTTTTGGGGTTTACGTTAAAAATTGTTAAAACCGATCCATACTTATCTTATCGCTAAAATAGTTATTTATGGTTTTCGATAAAAAAACACTTGTTTGCTTATTAAAACAATTTATGGTATTTGCCATAAAATTGTATCATATGATCGATTTTTCGCTCCTGTAAAAGTCCATTTTAATTACAATTAATCAAGGAAGCCTTATAAGGATATCTTGTTAAATACCTTCTCCAGGCCTTTTGCAGGTAATTGAACACAAAAATTGCTAACAGTTTAAACGACTGGAGGGTGTTTTAATCTTTAACTTATTTAAGACATTGTATTTCTAACCATGGACATAGGTATTAAGAGGCGATAAATAAATAATTAAAGTTTAGGTAGGTGTGCCCTTAATTTTGCTTGCACTAGGAGGATGTGGAAACGTATTGATCGTGTGCCATCAGATCCAGTTGAAAGGACAGTTTGTCATTTTCAATACAATATTTTAGGGTTTGGAGCGATGCAATTTCTTTTGTTTACGGTTGCGCGGCTTCTGATAATGGGAAAATAACTAACAAAAGTGTCTATACAGGATGCTGTGTCCGCAAACACAATAATACAGATATACACACTTGCACAAACACTCCCGTATAATAGGTCGGTTGCCTCCTGGAGCCATTTACCGTTTTATATATTGTCCCATTGTTCACTAGGAGTTGTGCAGCATTATATCGAACCGTGGATAGTCAGTTTTTACGGCAGGTAGTTTCAATTTTTCATATTTTATCGCTTCCGAGGAAATAACTGCAAATTTACTCGAGAGATTTGTATGAACTTAACTAATTAAGTACTAGTAGTACTTACACTAGTTACTTGTAGTGTTTATCGCTAGTAGCGCAGCAGTAAAATATTAATTTACAATAGATCGTAAGGTTTTTGTAATTTAGCGTTCCACAAAAGTTGTTCTTAAAATATGACTAGTAATACAGAGGTGTAAATTGAGTTTAACGAGTTGCTATAATTTTCTAGGTAATTCTCTTTTTTGCCTTATATATATTAAGTTTATTAAACTTTTGATGATTTTCTCAAAAATAGTCATTACTATTATCAAGGAAATAAGACAGTGAGGTGTTTATTATTATTCTTCTTAGATTTTTACTGAATGCTACTTACGATTACTTAAAGTAAATCAACTTTTTGAAGGGATTTAAGAGCTAAATAAATAAATAGTACGCTAACTATGTGAAACAAGTGTAATACTATTAGAATCAGTTTTAGTTTGTGAATTAAACACACTGTTACGAATCCCCAAACTAACCCACATTGATAAAAATAAATTCATTTGGTACTTTTGTTGAAATTTCTTTTGGATTTTTATGTTTTATAACTAAATTTTTTAAATTAGTAATTATTTTTCATAACAAGATTGTTCTTTGTTTATTTATTTATTTACTGAGGTTTTACCCGCGGCATCGTTCGCGTCCTAAATACGTACCAAAGATCATCGATGACCACATAAATCTAATTTTTTCTGCATCTCTGAAAATGTATGTACAAAATTTCATGATACGTTTTGTCCACGACTTTGCTTGAGTTGGTGCCCTAAATACATGTCCAAGATCATCGACGAATACATAAAAGTAATTTT